AAAAATTTATAATATATTTCGACCCGGAGCTGGCTACATTCTTCAAACTGGATACTACGCATTTCAAGATTAGAGAAATTTACAACGGTACGTCGTATTGCCGTAACACCCCGTATAGGATGCACATTCACCTCCAAGAACTATCGAGCAAATGCACTCTTTTAGATGGGCGCGCGTCCTCTATTCTCGATACTCTTAACGTTCTGGATAAGCGACTCGGAGAAGTTGAGCCCTCTACTCGAAAAATTCTTACTTTTAAGCCCCTCCAAATGGGAATGATTCAAGGGTTTACTTTTAAAGTGACGGACGAACAAAACAAACTCGTAGATAATAGAGGTGGATACGTTACGATCGAGACTATAATTAAAAAGGTGGTGTAATTAAAAAATGGATGAAATAGCTGCAGACGTAGCGACCCCGTCGCCGGCGGTAAAACCGGTAGCGACCCCGTCGCCGGCGGTAAAACCGGTACCGCTCGAGGCGGAAAAACCGGTACCGCTCGAGGCGGAAAAATTTAGATTGAGCAAGATTAGCGAGATGCTGGATGACATTAAAAACGACGAGGTGGGACGAGAAAAACTATACAAAAAATATAAAAAGACTCAGAGCATCGTAGACTGGATCGATACCGGTCTGAATACCCTGTCTATCGTTTCCGCCGCAGGTGCAATCGGCGTTGCGAGTACGGTCGTGATGGGACCCTTGTCCATCGGACTCGGTTCGTTGGCGGCCGTCTGTTGCGGGTTAAATTACGGCGGAAAATATCTGAGCAAGTTGCTCGAGAAAAAGAGCGAAAAACACAAAACCGTGCAGATAATCTGCAAGACCAAACTGGGCACGATCGATAGCATCGTTTCCGCCGCCTTGGAGGATAACGTAATTAGCGATCAAGAGTTTAAACTGGTCCTCGAAGAATATCGCAAGTATCAAGAGATGAAGCAGGATGCGATTGCCAAGGGGAAAAGTGCAATCGACTCGCTAAAAACGAGATTGGCTCAAGATGCTGCAAGCGGGAAACGAGTCTAGATATCGTGATCGATTGATGAAATGACCTTTCGTGATGACGTCATCGGGGTCACGGAAATGACCTTTTTTGATGACATCATCGGGGTCAATTGAGTCATTTTGGTAGTCAGGAAAAAGCTGGGCCGCCTATTCTAATACACTACACATAGCATTTACAGTGTATTAAAAGTTGGACCATCTATTCTTATACACTGTGTAGTGTAATAGAATAGGGGTTTAGCATTTACAGTGTATTAGAATAGGGGGGTGGGCGGGAACTCTCACTTTACATACTACTCCATGACCTAAACAATTATTTTGAATAGAATTTATTATTTCATTAATATACTTTTTTGTAATATAAAAATAAAAATTAGTTTAAAAATTACAAATGAAGACAATAACAATATATGTATAATAGACTATCTTGTTTCTCAATCTTTTCTAATGTACAGTAATAATAATGCCCCTGTATTTTGACCATCAAAATGGACATTTGACCCTCTACTAGTTTTTGATCCAGCATGGAACCAGCAGGGCCACGCCTAAGGCGGGTGGTTATATTTCTAAGAAGAATGCCGAAAATTAGTCTTTGAATTAATCTGAATACTGTATATAACCATTGCCAATGTATTATGGTTATGCAGAAGTTAAGTTCTGTGCACATTTTTCCAAGCCATTTTCCGCGCAAATTTGAGCTAGCTTTCAAGTTATCATCCACATTCTACGACGAATAAACTGGCATTTTAGTAATGCTGTAGTAGTAGTAGTAGTAGTAGGTCCTAGATAGTTCCATGGATCTAATAATTAACATGTAAATTAATGCACTTTATTTTAAATAGTGTTGTTTGTTTGTCTAATGTTTGAAATATTATTATTATTATTATAGTCTGTATGCCTAGGCCTAAACTAGGGGCCTAGGCCTAGGTCGCGCCAGGCAGTATAGTATTCCGTATTCTCTACATACATACAGTACTGCACTAAATGCTAGGCTATGCCTACACAGGTAAGACAAGTTGGTATTAAACAAACCTATTTAATGCCACTATTAAGATCACCACTTCCAAGACTTCCTTATCCAAACCAGCAAACATAACTTTTTGAAAGATTCATTCTTCAAAAATGCCTTCGACTTAATTTATTATTATTATTGAATATTTTCGCCAGTCCTAATTTTTCAATTTTCCGCTAGTGACGACCATTCTCATCAGTTGGCTAGTGTCGTTACCAGCTCGTTACGGTTGAGTGAATCAGCTGACTCCCTGTCTAGTGCAAATTTCCGAAATAAAAACTGGGGCAAATCGTTATTTTACACATAATTGAAACATTTTCATAAGTGAAAACCCATAAATGAAAAGAACGGCCAAATTTACATTGGAATATCTAAAGTTTGACACGATTTTTTATGGGGTTACCGAATGCAAGCCTTTGAAAGTCGGTACATTTTAGGAAATTCCCTATCTTATAACACTAGCTCAAAATCCTGTAGCACCACTTTTTTTTTGGGACCCAGTTCACGAGCCTCGTTTTCGAATACCGCGCTCCAAAATCGAGTGCTGTCACCGTCGTTGTGGTCGCCCATCCCTCTATTTTAAATTAAAAATTAATCGTTTCACCCCCTCCCCCTTTAAGCTTCTTAAAGTAGCATGGAAAAGAGCAAGAATTTACCCTTTATGCAAAGGTGGTGACCGCGAAGACGAGTCAAACTACAGACCAATATCAATTTTGCCATTTTTTTCAAAAATTATGGAACGCGTTGTTTTTGATCAAATATATCCATACCTAAATTTTCACTCATTAATTTATGAAAATCAGTCTGGATTCCGGCCTAAATTTTCTACATCTAGTGCTCTTATCAATATCACTGAAGATTAGATTAATGCAATTGAAAATGGCTTGTACGTTGGATTGGTAATGATTGATCTTAAAAAGGCGTTTGATACTGTAAACACGGATATTTTAATTAATAAGCTACATGGTTTTGGATTTCATACTAATGTAATTAAATGGTTTGAGAGCTATTTAAGTAAACGAAATCATATAACATCTATAAACGGCATCTCGTCTGACATGAAATAAAGCACATGTGGTATTCCACAAGGGTCAATTCTAGGACCGATGCTTTTTATTTTATACATAAATGATTTGCCAAATTGTGTAGATAATGTTAAGATTAGCATGTACGCTGACGATACAGCACTTTACTTTACATCCAAATGTATACCTAATCTTACCACAAAAGTAAATGCCGACCTCGTTAAAATCGATGATTGGCTTGCCCAAAACAAACTTAGCTTAAATATTACCAAAACAGAATGTATGATCATTGGATCGACTCAAAAACTCAATCAAATATCAAATAATGTATGCTTCAATATAAAGGGTAAACAAATCAAAAGGGTTGTTTCATGCAAACATTTAGGTGTTATGATTAATGCCAATCTTTCATGGGACGAACATGTCCTTAGAGTAAGAAACAAGGTTCAAACAGGTTTATATTATCTCCGAAAATCCAATGATGTAATTCCACGTGATATCCAATGCATATTATATAAGTCAATCATTGCACCTCACTTCGACTATTGTAATATTATATGAGGCCAATGCATTGCATCTCTCAGGCAAAAACTCCAAGTGTTGCAAAATAGAGCAGCAAAAATAATTACAGGTGCAACTTGGTTGGAAAAATCTTGACGAAAAATTAAAATTTAATGAAGCTGTAACTATGTATAAAATATTAAACAATCAAACGCCATCTTATCTGTCAAGTCGTTTACTTAAAAAAGAATACAAATACAACATGAGGTCGCAAAATAACATTGATATTAGTGTTCCAAGAACTAAATATAAACAAAAAAGTTTTAGCTGCAGAGGTGCTGCATTGTGGAACTCTTTTGATGAAAAACTGAAAAATTCAAAATGTCTCCGCGAGTTTAAAAGAAAATTGAATGATTCCTAATTTCGAAGATGTATTGTCCCTTGCTAAATGCTGGAAGAATCATTGAAATGTTTTTGGAGTTTGCTTGCCTGTTTTATTATTTTTATTATAATTTTTGGTTTAAAAATCATTTTTTTAATTCAATAGTTTTTGTGCACGGGTTGGTAATTTGTGTGCTGTTGCGATGTTGGGCGGGTTTATTACGGGAATTTTTTTTTTTTTTTTTTGTGGCAGGGGACAATACATCTTTAAAGCTTTTATGAACTGATGGTAATGTTTGCTTACTTTCGTGTTTGTTTAAATGTGTTTTTGTTCTGAAATTCTGTGTGAGTTACCTTTTTGAATCTTATATCTTGCTGTTTTTTTATACTGTTTTGTGAGAATTCTCGTGTCCTCTGATGTTTTATTTTAAATTGAGTAGGGTTTTTTATCTGTAATTTTCAGCTGTTATTGTTGTTATTGTTTTTGTTATTAATATTGATATTATTATTAATAATATTACTGATAATATTTATTGTGATGAATTTTAACTTTTATATAATTATTGTTGTTTAACGATTTGTTGTTTTTGTTATTTTTATTATTAATATTATTATTAATTTTATTGTTGTTGTTAATTAATGAACCACGGACTCAAGGAAGAACAACTTTTTACAATTTTTCTTTGGTATTGTATTTTCTATGTTGAATTTGGGTTTTTTTGCCATGTTTAAATAAAGAAATTATTATTATATTATTATTATATATATACAGGCTTTATTTAATTTTCGTTGTCGAACCTATGAAATGGGAGAGTGTGATGAATAAATTTAAAAAAATCAGAGCAATGGAATTCAAAACTCATGGATAAATGAATACAGTTATATAAAAATGCTTTGCACAGGCCCAGGACACAAACAAGTAACAGCAATAAGGGTCTATTCTGCATACTGGGTATTTTAATTGAAAAAGATAAATAAACACCGTCGCTCGTCACATATGTTTATACAAGATTTAATATACTGTATGGTACTAATCGACAAACAATGTGATTTTCCCAAAATGTACTATTTCACAGCATGTGCTAACAATCACTATGGAGCAGATTGCCGTCAAGTATGTCATTGCGATTCAGGTGAATGTTACAGAAAGACAGGGGATTGTACATCCGGGTCATCTTGTTTGACTAATTACACAGGACCAGCGTGTCAAGGTAATATTCAGATTTTAGTTGTCATATTTTATGAGTAATAGCATATTTATTTTGTTTAAAATATAGTAATACTGTAATTACTTAAAAACAAAGCTTATTTTAATATTCCTATTAGAAATACTAATTTACATATAGGCAACAAAGGTAATTAAATATTTTAATTATACTGTACCTTGCATCCACACTAAACTTAATTCAATTGAAAAGTTAATAGCCTACCGTATTACAATAAGCATATTCTCATATTCCTATTTAGAACACTTAATTTACATATGGCTAAAAAGGTACGGCCAGGCTACATTAAAATTTCATTTGTTTAACCTCTGACCACCAATAATTTGAATGGACTTGAAGGATTTGTTTTTTAATAGAGGGTAACCCAGTTTACCAAGTAGGCACGCTGATATTCAGGAGCCCTCTTAAAAATGTGATACCTTGTAAACAAACTCACATTATGAGAATTTAGGGAGTGAAAAAGTTAAATACAATAAATAAAAACAAAGTGAATGTGTAATGACTGTCTATTATGCTTACGATTCATTTATTAATTGTGTGCAAATTGTTGATTTTCAATAAAAAAATACCTAGTCGGCCCTAAATTGAAGGGGACGCTAAGGAAATACACATGATTTCATCCTTTCTACAGAGTAAAAACATACGCTTTGAGGGAGGAGAGGTTGACCACAGTCTAGTCATATGTACTCTTTCATGAAAAAGATAAAAATATGATCTTATGTTACATACTGTATTTCTTTAAATATTTCTTTCATGGGAGAGAGGGTCAGAAAAAATCGTGTTTAAACATGATGAAAAAAATAATAAATGACTTCTAAACAAATATTTGTTATTTTTTTTTTTTTCCTTATTTTTTTTATATCAAATTGAATCGTCTTGTATTAATTTCAGTTACAATGGTTTTTTTTTTCTCGTTTTTGTAACTGTTAATGTTTATTGTGTCTTGAAATGAATAAAAAAAAAAAAAAAAATATTTGTTTATAGTCGCGTAATTTAAAACTGTTATTTTTTTTTAGTTTGTTAGGGCCGATTTTAAAAGGAATTGAGCATTTTTAAATCTACATGTAGGACAGGAATATTATCAAGTCGAATAATTCAAAATACAAGTACATGTGAACATAATTGGTAATAGTTAAAAAGTTAATTTAGACCTAACTAATACCTTTTGACTCAACATTTAAAGATAACAATGATGTCACATTTTGTTGCAGAATTACTGCCAGGCCTGTCCTGTCCATCTGGTTTCTTTGGAGTGTTGTGTAACTATCCATGTCATTGTAAAGACTCAGCTGATTGTTATCGTGATGGAAGCTGTGAAAATGGATGCCATGAAGCATGGGCTGGAGGGGACTGCAGCATAGGTAACGATATACGTCTTAAAATTTACATTTACTTGTGTTAAATCGAGCTTAAATCTCAATTTTGTGTAATTGCAATAGAATTTCCAAGATTAACCAATATATATTCTTTTCTATGAAGCTGCATGTTATACCTATTAAAATAATTCATTCAATGTATCTTTCGCCACCCCAGGGGCGGATCCAGAGATGTTCAAAAGTAGGGGCCGAAAGTGGGGCAAATCGAGATAACACTTCCCTGGGGGGTCCAGTGCATTCTCAGCGAATTTTTTGTGTTCTAGACGCCCAAAAATAAACTCTGAGGCGTTTTTGGCGGTCATTTGTTTATTTTTCTTTCTTCTTTTTTTTTTCTTTTTTTTTAACCTTCCTAAAGGGTGTGGGGGGTGGCCAAATTCCCCCTGCACCCTAATTATATTTAAAATATATATTTATAATGAGTTATTATTATTAGCACTACCTTACAGCTGCAAACCGCCAACACAATTGAATCAAACAGCAACCACCCTAAAGATTGCCGCCTGCAGCTGGGATCCAGTTCAAGACTTTGGAACAGGGACTATTACTGGATGTAAGCTATGGTATAAAACATCACAGACAAGTACGTTCACTACAGTTAATAATACTGAAAATGGTGTATATATCATCGACAATCTTACACTACACACAACTGTTGAATTCTACACACAACACTCAAGATTAGTTGGCGGCGTAGAAACCGATGGACCACCTAGTGAACATGGATCAGCAGAGACTATATGCACAAGTAAGACCAATTACTTTCTGATCATATAATTATTGCCTTTTCCCGAATTAGCGGAAAAAGCGATTCAGGTGAATGTGACAAAAAGACGGGGAATTGTACATCCGGGTCATCTTGTTCGATTGATTACATGGGACAAGGGTGCCAAAGTAATATTCAGATTTTTTAACCTGATTTTTTAATCTGATTTTTATTCAGATTTTTTAACACTGATTAAGTCAGTGTTTTTGTTCAAATGTTCATGACATGTGCAACTGCATAGAGAGATTTTTTTTCATTTTTTTATCATCCAATGCTAATAAGACATTGCTGATATGAGTAATTGCTCAAGATTTGAAGTGTTCCTCCTATTACTGGCTATAGGCAGTGTAGATCATTAGCCATTGAAAACGTCGTCTTATAAAGTGTTGTACACTAGTTAGTTACAATCATTTATGTTTTAAGTGATAGGGGCCTATTAGAATAAGACATTTCTAATTTCTTCAGTTTACATTATAATCGATCACAGTTTAAACAATAAAGATAACAGACCCAGTACATAGCGACGGCCGTGCCCTAGGCCAACATTCCTGAGTGTGTAATTCGCGAACGCTGGTGGACCTAGCTATAGACCGACTGCTAAAGAAAGGATCATCAATATTTTACTATTTCTTCAGAATAAAGATCAAAATATTGAAGGTACATCGACATTCAAAGTAAGGCACGCTGGCCTAAATAAAATCTGCCATGCCTATCATCTGTATATGCTGCTAGCGCACCGCTCTCCACGGCGGAATGTTTACCTCACATTTTTGCTAGCCGTTGGCATTAGGCCTGTGTGGAAAGATGTATTCTCCTCTACAGTAGGTCCTCCGAATCGAGAGACATATACTGTATTGTTGTTGAAAATTTAACATAGTAATTTAAAACAAATCTGAAATCTGCTTTATTCGTTATAAAATAATTATAACGAGGGAGATAACTGATTAAAATGCGTTGTCATCTTTAACTCAAGCAAATCTCAAGAGGATGATCAACCACATGTGGGTGCGAGTATTGGGAGATTTGGAACGGTCCGATTTGGAACGGGGTATAATTTGTTTTTTAGTACGACGCCTGTAGATTTGAGAAATTATTCATCATTTCTGATACTAACATGCGTCGAAATATTAATCCCAACACGATGGCGTGCATTTTCATACTTATTATACTGTACTATCTTAAAGGCATATTGTACGAGAAATTTTCACCAAGTAAACAATGGACTTGTTTCCGGGCTTGTTTATTCAAGATTCCAGTTAATTTTGGTATAAAATAACTAGTTTTATGCATAAAATCCACGTAAATTCAAATAATAAAGGTTGTTTTATCAAATGTATATGTTTATGCTTTAGTTGCATTCAATAAAATCAGCCTATTGGTACTCGTGCTTCATAGAGTTGCTAGTCTTACAATACAGACATTTTATGCCGTTCAACTTAACAAACTGGAAGGCTAGCTGTGCGCCAAAAGTTACTACAGCTGGTATTTACAGACTATATGAATGCAAATTTGTGTTGTATACATACCGTGAACCAGGCCCGGGATTTATCAATCTCAGCTTAGCAAATGTCTTAAGTCAAAAAAGTTAAGATGTCCCTAATAAATATATTAAGCTGATTTATTACCCACTCTTAACAAAATCTTGGCTTAAAAATCGTCTTAGATGGCGCCAACGTACAATCGACTTTCTAATTTTAAGCAATTTTTAAGATAAGCAATATGGATAAATTTGACTTAAGCAAAAAAATGGACTTAAGACGAATTAAGCTGATTTCTAGTTTGATAAATCTGGCCCCAGGACTTAGGCTAGGCCTATAAGATTCATCGTTATTACAGATATAGAAATTTCATTTTACTTTCTAAGATGAGGAGCATTTTTTAATCGGGTGACATGTCTAAAAATCGCGATTCACTGCCTCAAATGTTGTTAATTTCTTAACTGAAATTCCTCAACAAATGGAGCAATTTGGGATTTGGGAGTTTTTCAAGTTTGTTACAATTAAAAATACTTTTTTTGAAATGTTATATTTTAACGGTAATATTATTGTGTAAATTGTTTCCTTGTTTTGAATCCCCTTCCAGACCCAGTCAGGAGGTCTAGTAAGCACCATTAACTACTGATTTTATTCAGTGTAATCCTTGGCAGCCTGCTGAGTTTATCAGGGATTAGTAGATCTTGAATGGTTGTTATGTAACATCCGGCGTTTGGCCTCAAACTCCGGGTGTATTGGCAAAAAAGCTCTATGGAGTTGTACATGTAATGTTTGACTTTTCTTGCATTAGCCATTGGTTTGTTTGATTTGTTTTTTCTTCTATCCTATTTTTTGAAAATTTTTGCACAGGATTTTCTGCACGACACTTCAGTCATTTCCGTGCTTGAAGAGCAAATATTGGTCTATACATATTAAATATGACGTCATTCTATATGTTTAGAATTTTATTAAAAACGGCTAATTGAAGTTTTGAACTAACGCAATTTAGCAAAACAATAAGCATTTCTCCAGCTAGGTTGAACACAAAGTGAATGCCGCCAATGGGACCATGTATGTGTCGAAATCTTGATATATGCTGCTGTGTTCTAGTTTCTCATAATGATTGTTTCATGTTACAGAAAACATTATAGGTTTTAGTAATGTGTAGGCCTATAATAGTTTTTGTTTTCATTTCATAAGCTATAAGCACATGCAGCATAATAGCTATTGTATAAACTTAGGAGTTATTGTGCTACCATTATATTATAATTACATTTTTATTAAAGCCTCAATAATTATAAATACTGTACAATATTTCTTTTTTAAAGAGCCTTTAGAAGAGCCAGAAATAGAATCGACAACAGTTAAAGGTAATGAGATTATCTTAAAATTGAAGGTAAGTATATGCCTATTTCAATTACTGTACAATGATTCCAATTTTGATCCTTGCCTATTCTCACAATTAATCAAAACAACTACTGTAATTAACAATAAGTAATTTTAAATTAAGATATTAAAGACATTTTATAAAGGCTTTCGCCTATATTTTTTCTAATAGCCTGTATCAAATGCTCCCGAGCAAATCCAATGCGATGATATACTTCGTTATCAAGTGCGACACCAAAACAAAAATGGAAATGAACATGACATTGTCAACACAACGGATGGCTTACAAACAGAAGTCAACATTTCAGGATTATCACCAGGATGTGTTTTTTATCACGTCGACTCTAGAGTTGTTAATAATGCAGAAATTACTGGAGATTGGGGAAAGCCAATATCGGTACAATCAGCGCCCTCAGGTTAATGTCTGTCTCTTATACACATCTATGTGTATAAGAGACAGACATTTACTTGTGTTAAATTGAGCTTAAATCTCAATTTTGTATAATTGCAATAGAATTTCCAAGATTAACCAACATATATTCTTTTCTATGAAGCCGCATGTTATACCTATAAATAATTCATTCAATGTATCTTTCGCCACCCCAGGGGCGGATACAGAGATGTCCAAAAATGGGGCCGGAAGTGGTGCAGATCGAGATAACACTTTCATGAGGGGTCCAGTGCATTCCCCGCAAACTTTTTGTGTTCTACACGCCCTAAAATAACCTCTGAGGCATTTTGGCGATCATTTGTTTCTTTTTCTTTCTTTCTTCTTTTTTTTCTTTTTTTTTAACCTTCCTAAAGGAGGGGGTGGGGGTGGGGGTGGGGGC